TTGCCTTATTATTGCCTCATTCCCTGCAGTAAGGCAATGCACCATGCAAGGCTGGGGCAGTGTGTGTGTGTGTGTGTATGTGAGTGTTACAGTCAGTACATAGCAGTTTCCTCCAGCCACTCCTTACTTTTCATTTTCTCTGCTCCTGTTAGGTTCTTTGCACCACTGCAGCAGAGAAAAGTACCTGAGTTTGGATTGAGATAGCTTGACTCATTCTTTTCTTTTTTTTTAAAGCAAATATGTCTTACAGTATGTGCATACTTAGAATTCCAGCCTGGTACTTCTGCAATAAAAATCAACAGGATGTGGCTCATATAGGAACCAGCTATTTTTAGGTAAAATTCCTGAAGTGGGATATAATTTTAAGTCTTCTCTGCATTTTTATTTCTGAAGCTGCTTGCTTCAGGCTTGAATGATACATGATTAATAATTGAGCACATCTTATTTATACATTCCTTTACAATAGATGCATGAGAAGAAACCAGAAAATTACGAGGGTAGGGGAGGAAAAGGCAAAAATATATTTCTATGGTAGATCCTGCCAGAAAGACATGAGCCAGTAGTGATGGTAAATTTTATGCCAATCTTAAACGTGTGTTTAACTTTTATGCATTAATTTTACATTCCTTCATTTTCATACATGTCCCATTCACTCTTGCTCAAATGAATCAGTAGAAAGATTGCTGTAACTGCATTAGGATTAAGGCTAGACTCTCCCAAAATACATGCTGGTTAATAGGGATAGAAGCCAGTTTAAAAATCAATACAAGGTATGTTTCTTCTAAATGGGATTCTAGATAGTCAGCAGAATGACCTAATATCTTAGGCTAAGTTGATAGTTTTTCTTGGCATGTGATAATTATCTGCCTGTACTTCCAACCAGAGCAAAATAATATTGTCAATCAACTTCATTAGAAAATCTTATGAATTTAAAAATAAGAGTCTCAGTTACTCTGCCTAAAAGGACAGTACTAATGCTCTACTTGTAATACATTGAAGTAACTACCATATCTACCTTTCTTCCTACTAAGAATTGCCGGCAGTAAACTGATCATAAACCACCAGTGTCTTCCTTTTGAAAATTAAAAACTTCTATTGAGAAGACTATGAAAAAGTATAGTGTATTCACTGTTCTATTCAAAGGAAATAGGAACTATAGTACAAAAAAAATTTTGAAAGAAGACTTTGTTGGAAGAGTCATTTAAAAAGGCATTACAGTCTTAATAACTGCCATGGTCCTTCCTGTATTCCTGCCATGTTCCCAGTCAGAAAAATCTCTGAAATCTCTGCACTGTCCATTTTTTGCAGAATGTAATGAGATCCACCTTATTCAGTATCTAGTGTTCAGGGGCAGTTGTATCTATATGTTTCACAGAGATAAGCAGAACTATTCTTCTGGAGTAATTGGTACATGGAATTATATGTTGAAGAGTTCTTTCATTCCCCACCAGCAGTAGGTGTTTGTTATATTTAGTTTTTAAACATGAAGATTTATATACACAGAGTCATAGAATAATTTAGTTTAGAAAGTATCTGTAAGACCATCGAGTCCAGCCATTAACCTAAAAAGTCAAATCTCCTACTAAATCATGTCCTTAAAAGAGAAATCTAAATGTCTTTTAAATACCTCTAAGGATGGTGACTCAATCACTTCTCTGTTCCAGTGTTTGACAACCCTTTTGGTGAGATAATTTTTCCTATTATCCAAACTAAACCTCCTCCAGCAAAAATTGAGGTAATTTCCTTTTATCTTGTTGCTTGTTACTTCTTGGTAGAAGAGACTGCCCCCCCCCACCTTACTGCAGCCTCTTTTCAGGTTCTTGTAGAGAGCAATCAGGTTCTTTTTAAGCCTCCTTTTCTCCAAGCTAAACAACCCCCACTCCTTCAATTGCTCCTCATTAGACTTGTGCTCCAGACCCTTCACCAGCTTTGTTGCCCTTCCCTGGACATGTTCCAGCACCTCAGCATCTTTCTTGTAGTGAGGGGCCCAAAACTGAACAGAGAGGTTTGAGATGTGGCTTCACCAGTGCCAAGTACAGGGGGATGAAATGTTCCTCAGTCCTGCTTGCTGCACAACCACGAGCCTTTTAATACACTCTTCTATTAGATCTGTAGGTTTTATTATTATGTGTCCAGTTTCACTTAGAATTTTACTATTTATCTCTAGTACTCATATAGTTAGCTCTTGGGATACAGTGCTTTCAGCCATCACAGCTTCATTTTGAGTTAGATCTTTATCTCACTGCCACATTCTGGTATCAGTGTTGTCAGGAATAATGAGTTTAAACCTGCAGGTATTTTTCTTCAGCAGCCTAAAACACAAACATATGTCATGTCATTTTATTACTTTCAGAGTTTATTACGTAGCTTGTTTCATATATGTCATAATATATTTTCTGCTTGTTTGCCCATTAACTACTACAATGGTGTTTTCATTGATTCTGACACATTGAGCACATTCGCCTTTCTCTGGAATATCTACAGTTAGTACAGAAACAAATTATTCCAATGTTAGGAACTTTGTATGCTGGTTCATTAGCAGATCTTGTGTCACTCTCCTGAAGATATGTTCTTTTGAAATCCCCCTCTGACAGCTATGATTGTTTTAAAACATTTCTGCCATGCCACTTGCTTGTTACCATTTTACAGCTGGGCAGTCAGAGCCTTCAGAGATGACCTGGTGGAACAGATTGTACAAGTGTTTCTCATCCACTTCAGCGAGGTTGTGCAACTTATTATCCTAAATTGTTGAAACAGAATACAGACTACAATACAGCTATCCACAAGAAAATGGGGACAAATAAAATATTTTAGAATTTTGCAACAGGAATTTTTCAAGTAGATCTTTTTTTTTGACACATATAAGGGCAAATCTTTCTGAATATTGTCTCAAATATTAATTTTATATAAAAAAATTCATCTTACAGTACAATATTTTGTCTTTCTTTTCCTAAGGAAAATCTGACTGTATTTGTCTGGTGAATATACTTGAAGGCCCACATACTTCTATACAACTGCCCTTTTTTCCGTGCTACATATATCCAAAAACTACCAAAAGCCTAGTCTGCTGTAAAAAATGAGGCTAATATGAAAAAAAAGCACTGCATACATATTTCCAGAACAGAATTGACATTATTGCTGACAACTACAGATCAGTAGGAAAAGTGTGAAGAAAACACAGGTCTTCCATCTGCTTCATCCATCTGCTGAGAAAAGGATCTATGTTACCATTAGCAGGTCTGTCTCTACAGTTCTGTGTCTTCTATGTACATTTTCATGACAAATGTCTTAAACATCTATATTTTTTACCTCTATAGATAACTGTACTAAATAGCATTTAATTTTAGCTCTAAATTTGCTATTTTTTGAAACAAAATGCATAATAGAACATAATTCCCAGATTTCTCCTTAAATTTCCTGACTACAAATCAATGGTTCTTTAAAGTGTCTAATAAAAGAGTCTAGTTCAATATTAGATATACTTTATCTAATTTAATAAATCATATTTAATATTTTTTGACTGAGGATTTTGGCACAGTATGTCATTTGGCTAGTTTCTATTTGCCTGTATTCTATTTCAGTGTTGACATCCTTTTCAAAATTGGAAGAAATAAAGTTGGGATATAAACTTCAGATCAAATAGTATTCTCCAAGTCCATGTGTGAAGGTTATTGTTGAGGAGATCAGTTTTGTTGGACTTCTGCATTAGAAGTGTCAATCACAAACACAGAGAGTAAGAGAGACTCATGAGGAATTCTGTTCAATATTCATTATTTTTCAATATACTATATTTTATTTGTCCTATGGGTTGGGAGCTTTAGTAAGGAAACAGATTTTCTAGTTACACAAATTCTGTCCAGAGGCGGCAGTAGCCTGTATCTAGCAGCTCCAGGCATTAGGATTTCTAGAATCCAGACAAGGCCAGGTATTCTGCCCTTGTGCCCAGTGCCCATATGTAAACTCAGTAGGTCCAGTGGTTCACACAAGAATGACAGCAGCATTGCATTCATTATTTCTGCTGCTGCACAGGCATCATAAGTTCTTTCAAAATTTACTCCCTTGCTAAGTCCAGGAAGTATACTGGAAAGGTTAAAGGTAACCTTCAGGTCACTATCATCGGAATCAGTCCAAGAGCTTTTCTGGTGACCTTCTTTCCTCAGCAACTCCAGATGAGGAAGGTTTTTGTTTGTGATTTTTGGGGTTTTAACTGTGGTTTTTTTTTTCATTTTTTTTCGTTAATGCAGGTAGTTCTGACACGTAAACAGCTTTAGAATACTACTGGGAGACTTTTTAAACCTGTTCCTGTTCTGTTATCTTGAATGCTGGGAACTATTCAGTAATAAAACTCCAATAAACTATCTACAGTGCTTATGAATTATATAAACATTGCCTTGCTTTTTAACATAAAGTTAACTGAGACAAAAAGATTTTTCTGTTAAAAATAGTTTTAAAAAAGGTGTAAGTATAAAAAGTTATTATTCTGCAATATATATTCATCTTCTGAGCGCCCTCATGATTAATAATCATACGTAGGACAGAGATGGTGAAAGGGAGACAGCTGAGTCTCTATGGGGTTGCCATTGTGCAGTTGCAAGAGGTGGACAAATACTTTGCCTATTCAAAGCCCTAACTGCAAGACCTTCTTTCATATCAGTGGGGAGAGTAATAATTTTGGAAGAAAATGCTTTGCATTTTGCTGAAGAAATTGCACTCAATTTGATTGTTTTTCACGTTGTTAAAGGGTGAACTACAACTATTATTTTTTATAGCAGTGATTTGTTTTGTTAGACCCTGTGAAGGTTCTTTGTTGTTGGCTGTTGTAAGGAAACAGAAAGAGTCACACCTCGGTTTTCCCTCTTGCACAGCATTTCAATTAGAAGGTGAAACAACTAAGAACAACTTTCTTCTGTCTTTTTTTTTGTCCTTAGCCCCATTGAGCAGATTAAATATATGAACAAACATATCTTGTGCATGAATCACCAAAGAAAAAGACATTAAGGTGGTTTCATAAACATGTTGACATTTATTTTTAATAAAATACGGATTACTTCTTTTCTATTAGGATGAAAAAACAACATTTTAAAACCTGAACAAGTGCTGGTTAATATGCAGAAACTAAAGTGTATTGCAAATGATCAGAAAAATTGGAATCTTTTTTTTTTTTGTCAAAGTATGGTTATCAGTAATTTAAAGGGTCTTTTGAATCATTTAGTATTGAAGACAATCAGCAGCAATAAACATAATCTTCTATCAGAAGTAGCAAAAGAAGTTATTATATCCTTCCTTCCCAATTTTATGTACAAAGATATTATATATAATATATATATAACTTTTCTTAAAAATCTAAGCCCCATATAGTTTAAAAGTTTATAGTTATACAAGTCATTTTATTAAGGAATTTGTTTCTTCAAAGATTTGAATGAAATAGTTTATTTTAAGCAGCTAGTTTTCAGAAGCAATCTTCTCTCTTGTTTTCAAGTTCATGGCATATAAAAAAAGAAAGGAATTAATAGTCTATTATGTATGTTTTGGCTTCCCTATGAGCTGTCACTCAGTAAATAGTTTCACACACACATAAGACCTCTTTATGTGCTGTAATATCAATGTAAAGGAGCATTTCAATAATCGAAAAATTCATTTGCTCCCATCTGAAGGCCATCTCTATTATCAGCATGATAGAGTTGGAAATCAAATTATATATATCTATATCTATATCTATATATATCTCTCTCTATATATATATATATTAATATATCTCAAGATATTTTGATGTGATAGGACACTGTAAACAGTGAGAGTTTAAAATGCTGTTGAATGCAAAAATTTGTTTTTCCCCCTAGATTTTTCATAATAAAGGTGACATTATTTTTTCCTGTCACCTTGTAAGGAGTAATAAGATATATAGTATTGTTTTAGTAGTTGATTGAAATGTTGTCAAAAAAAAAAAAAAGCTCAAAAAGGAGAATTTAAGTAATGAATTGCAATGAAACTTTACTCTCAAGAAAGCACACATTTGTTTCTTTGCAAGTATCTTCTCCAGTTGATTGTAATTCATTGTTACAGACAAATTTAACTTTCTTCTTACATTTCTTTGCATGAATTACAGTAGAAAAACTATGTATAATCTTTCAGTTATGTCAATGTATGTGCAAACTTTATGACAGTGAAATGAAATAAATCAATATTTAGGAAGCTCAGAACAAAAGATTGAAGGCATTTATAGCGAGTTGCATTAATCAATTTACTGTGTGCTTAGCATTGTTTAGCTGAGCTAATAATGTAAGATTAACCTTTAAAAATTTATATTACAAAGTATGATGATCCCAATCTTGGTTCCTAATGCTTTTAGCTCTATAAACAACGTTTGACATTTACCTCAGTAGTAATGTCATGGAAAAATGTTCCCATACCCTGCAAATGACAAAGGTTTGAATTTTTTTTTTTTTTTTAAGGAAGGAATTTAAGTTTGTTAGCTGTGTCAGTTTTGGTTTTTTGGAGGGAGGGGGATTTTGTTGGATTTTTTAAAATAATGATTTAAATTATGACATCACTTAAGATGAAGTTAGAAGTTAAGGTCATTAGAAATTAAAGATCATTAAAAGTTAAAAAATACCAGGCAAGCATTAAGATTTCTTTCACTAGCCACTGTTTCCTCACTTTATTTGAAAAAAGAGAAAGTACTTTAAAGAATCAATGTGAAAAAAAACTGGTTTCAGCATATGTTCTGGTCTTGAATCACAGTAGCACTGAATTAGATGAAAAAGTATGAACTTCCAAAGAGTCCTATCATTTTTGCCATGGTGTCTCATGTTTATATCTACTTCTGATCTTTGCCTTCAGGTAGTGCTGAAATGTAAATATTTAATATTGAGAATGAAAAAGAAATAACAATTACTTTTGATAGATTCTGTGTTTACCTTTCAAATTTTCTAGTACCTTTCTTAATAGAAGTTCTGAGTAATTTCAATCTTAAATTAGTCTGCCAAGATTTTTTAAATCTATGGTCTGAGCCTTCTCATGCTCCACAAATTTCTTTGCAAAGTTTACCAAATACAATTAAGAAAGAGACATTCAAATATTTTATGCAGCAACTTCTATGCATGAGGTTCCAGAGCTTAAAAGAATATTTAGTAACCATTGGAAAGGAGAATTTTTGAGACAGGCTCTGTTGCAGTACTAATCCCTGGTAGCAGTACCAAAATGCCATGGATCCTTTTCCCATGTAATACAAAGGCTGTCACTGACACCTCATGGGGCTGGAACATGTTTCTTTCAGCCTGATGACACATCAGATCACAAAGTGTGTGAGTGTAGGTGGCATATACCTTGAATACAAAAGCGTTTCATACTCACCCATGTTTATTCTTCTATAAAAAGCAAAACCTGTTGGAAAGACCTGAAGAATGTCACCATATGCAACGAGGCTTTGGGGACACAAATTGAGAAGCGTGAGTCATGTAAAAGACCACCTCAAAACTGGGCTCATTTTGTAAAAGGGATAAGGACATTGGGTTGAGAGATGTTACGAATGCTAGATGCAAATTCCCTTTCTAGATACCCCACTCAACAAGGAGCTTTTCAGGATTTAATGAAGCTCCTTTTTAAAAATCTATTTGTGTTAAGTCTAAACAAGAACTGCACCTGGCAGAAAATGGTAGTAGTATCATTCCTATGCCAAATATTATTCAAAACAGAATTCTTAGAAACAAGGGTGTCTACTGTATCTTAACTTCCATTTTGAGAAAATCCAGGTGGATTCTTAATTTGAAGAATAGCTGTTAAGACACAGTTTAAAACATAAAAATGTAATACCTGTTCCTGTTGCTGCTGCATCCACACAGATTGGCTGAAACGAAAGCTGTGCTCTAGATCTGCAATCAGAAGGGCTCAATCAGCCTAATCTAAAGAATTTGGGTATGTTATTTCAAGAGGGAAAGGAGGACAATTTCTGCGTACTATTGGCATCTCATGGAAATCGTAAAGGCTTTTCAAAAGTCCTACAGATTTCTTTTGTCCATTTTTTTTTTGCTGACACAGTTGTACAATAGCAGATCCCAACATGGCATTGTCTTTGGGTTTGCATCACACTAATCCAAGTGATCTAGAATTCTGCTTTTAATTTCAGCTCGTTCTTTAATTTGAATTCCTAGTACATGGTGATTTATATCCAAGCAGCTAACAGCATAAAGCAAAACACAGTATCAGTTTTACATAGTAACAACTTAAGCAATGTGAGGTTAAACTGTGCTGTCAAATTCCATATGCCATGATGGGTAGTCTCTATGTGCATACATGGAATATTCATACAAGATATATGGATACAGTAAGCAATACAGTAATGTGACATTAAGCATTTGGTTCCAGTTAAGACCAATGGAAACTGAAGTTTCCAAGCTCCAAGCAAGAGATTCTCACATAATCCAGTCATAGATATCCATTTCAGAAAGAAAATGGAGATTTTTCTCCAGAACCCTCAAAGTTTGGTTCCACAGGTGTGTTCAGAAAGTGAGACTTTAAAAAGCTCCGACCCTTGACTTTTTCTTTCCTCCTTGTTTCCTCTCTGATCCACAATATTGACTTTGATTTGGTACATTTTAATGGGGGCAGTTTTTAATTTCTTTGTCAGTAGCCTAATAAACTGTTATAACTATGGAGAAAAACTTTCTCAATATACAACATTCTAAGTGGATCATAAATTTTATGTTGAAATAAAAGAAATTTTATTTCTACTGATGGTTACACCTGATTTTTTTTTTGTATTATGCCGAACTTCTGCTCTCTTTATTACTGCTAAGACTTGTCTAAAACTGAAGACTGACTACTCCCAGTCAAGCTTATACTGCAGAATTTATGGAAAATTAGATCTGCACAAATATGTTATCCTGTTCTGAAGCATTGGGTTAACAAAATGTTGATTCTATGCCTTTATTTGTTCTTTATCCTTTGAAAGTAATGGGGGAAGACATCGGACTTACGAGCATTTTGAAATAAAATGTTAGGCCTGTAGACCACAGACTGGTGAGATTATAAACATACTTTTAAAATTTCTTCTGCAGTACTTACAAAGTGAGGAGAAATCACACAGCTGACCACACTGCAGCTACTTAATGCTGCTATAAATAGATCATAATAAGCATGTGGTGTATGTGATTGTCTGTGCTGATAAATGAAAGGGTGTGAATTTTTCAGCATCAGTGGAAAGACGGGAAAAAGCAAAAAACCTTCCTGATTGCAGCTGCAAATGGTAGCAATTTTTGCTTCCTGCATTAATGAATGTAATTCATGTAACACATATTACATCATTCAACAGCAAAATTCTCACATTCAGTTCACAGACAAAAAGTATTTTAATTAAGAATATCAATGAGTAATGACAATCCACTTTCAGAAAAAGCAAAGAAAGACACTTCTTTGGCCATGTAGAAGGAGCTGTGATGCAAATATATTTTATCAGTGTAAGAAATTCGCTTTCTAAAACTCTTTACCAAAAGAACTTCCTTAAAGACATGTTCTGGTTTATTTGTCTGTTTTCTGTTTCTAACCTTCCTTTATGTGCAGTATTTGACTGCAAACCTGCATTTTACAGTCTCTAGTGATTGAATCACTTCATCTTCTATAAACGTCACAAGTTCAAAGAGCTTTCAGCATCTGAACTCCAACACAACATACAAACTAAAAGAATTCATTTTCTAGAGACCATAACAAATTTTAATGTGCATTTACAGAGTAAACAGAGGGCTGAAGGGGGTCAAACCAGTCAAAGTGAAGATATGCATTACAAAATCCACACATTACTGAATTAAAAACTAAAAAGTGGTGTTTTGTCAAAAGAGGAAATAAAGATGTTTCTTGGTGGCACGACATATAGATAATATTAAAAACTGGCTTGCATGAGGACCAAAGTATGTCTACTCTGAAGTTATATCACACAGACTGTAAGCAATTTACAGAATTTAGGTTGGTTTTGCATATACAGGAGTTGCAAAATTAGAGAAAACACACTGAAATATAGAACGCACACGCACACACAAAAAAAGGGATGTATATATATAAACCTCCACATAGTCATCAGGGGTTGGCCTAAGTTGGTACTTGCCATCACTGAACAAGAAACAAACAGAAAGACAGGAAAAAAACCTCAAAGGGTGAAAAGAATAATATATTGGAAAGCAAAAAGAAAAAAATCTTAAAAGAAAAATATCCTTATATGTTTTTCAGAAACAACATCCCCTAGTCTGCTGAGCTGCTTAGTAGAATATTCCTATTCCTCATGCAAAAAAAAAAAAAAAAGAAAAGAAAAAAAAAGACTTTTTGATAAAGTTTGTTTGTATTCTATTTATGTTCAATCACTGTAGTTTGTTTCATTATTTGGCCTCTTTTTGCTTCCAGGCTGGAACGGTTCTTTCAGCGTAGGAAACCAAATGTCATCCATGGTAAATTCTGTAAAACTGAGGACTCGCAGGCCAACCCCTGAGAAGTTAAGGATGAGGCTTCTCCTTGCCAAAAGAAAAGGAAACTAGGTCTTGCTGTTACAAAACGTTTGATTACATCACACCAGTTCTCTTCAAATAAAATATCAGTGATAAGCCAAAGAAAATAAGATATATCAAGAAAACATGTGGTATCCTCTTCTTTTTTATAATATTTATTTTATTTTATTTTATTTATTTAGTAATTTTGTTTGTACTTCCTGAAGAAGGTGCTCCTTGTGTAGAGATTTAGAGTACATTGGGTGCAGAGTGGTGGTTGGAGGTTAGGGTCAACTTTGCTGTCCGCTCCGTGGATTTTACAGGCGATTTGCTCTTTGCTTTAAGAAGAGAAAGTGATATTGGAAAAAGTCAGCACTTTTAGATTAAAGCAAAGCACCCTTCACAAAGCCACAAACAAGAAGCAGGACAGAAAGTCCATGGCTTGTAGCTATCCTCGCACCTGCGGAAGAAGTTATAAGATATTCGCTCATCTTGCAGATTTCCAATGCTCCTTATAAGGCTGTTTTAAACATATACATTTATTTATTTAATTAGCTCGCCAGGTTGGCTCTGGTGCCCATGAATGTCTTGGCATGCACTGCAAACAACAACACATACAAAGTATTTCAGTCCCAGGGAGGTTTTTGTTTGTTTGTTTTGATTTGCTTCTTTTTTTTTCCTTGTCTTTTTAAACAATATTACCCAATGAAACCACAAACCAAGAGGAACAAAACCAAACACCTTCCACCTCAGAGTGTTCTTTACAAAATCATTTCCAGCATCACATCATTGACTGCTAACAAGAAGTTATCCAGTGGCTAAAGAGTGTTTTCTTATAACCGGGGGAGATACAGGCAAATAACTGTGCTATTTACAAGGGGGAAACAGACTGCCAAAAGGTTTGGACTATATATTTTTTGAGAAATTATATTATCCCAGACTTTGTTTTCTTTTTAAAAAGCTATGAAAACAATGGTCTGTATAATTATTTCTAAACCCACGACTTTAGCGTGCTCGCAGAATGAAACCAGTTGGGCTAGACTGATTAAACTGAAATGTTCACACACCAAGGGCATGAGTATTTAGTTGTCTTACATGCCAAGTCTCAGTGCTTGATAACTCCCTGTATCATTTGGAATTACATTCAGAATTTGAAACTAATTACTTGAGGTCAAAACTATAAATGTAATTTGGTAGCACTGTAAGTAGAAGTTCAGCTTATAACAGTTTGATGCATGATTAATAGATTTTATATCTGTGTCATGTATTTGAAAAGGATAAATATTATTGATGGTTACAGGCATCAGTCCTATAGCAGGGTAACAATGGTGTTATAAGCAATCCATAATGAATGATGGACTTGTAATACACTGTTGGGGTTTTCTTTAATCTATTAATCATGTATAAGATATTTTTGTAAAGAACTTAATATTAAACTAAATTGTGGATTTCATTGCAGCCCCCAAAAGTACATTTATCTTATCATAAAGAATATACACAATGAAAGCAAAAAGAAATCCAGGCAAGTGCTCAATTTTTTTAAAGTTTTCAGATGTAACACTGTTCTATGTATCTGCTAACTATAAGTGAAGCAAGAAGTCTTTCTGTTCCTGTCTTTAGTAATTTTTTCCTTTTTGAAATGGGGATTAAACTAAATCACAGATTTTAGATAAACACTGCTTGCTTTGCTAAATATGTGGTGTGAGATGTTACATATATAGCTGTTTCCATAAAACACCCCTAATCCTCTGTCATATACACAAGAATATCACAAAATAGTGATATTTTAATTATACATGTGTGAACTGAATTGCTAAATAAATATTAACTTTTAAATGAAAATTTGTCTCAAAGACATTAATAACATTTTCCCAAGAGAAGTCCAAGGGAGCTTTAAGCTTAGTTTCTACTGAAACAAGATGTGATTGGGAAGCCCTACTGTTCTCTTGCCCGTGCGATAACCTTACTCGTAGTACACTGCCGTAGTTTGCTGTGCTTCCCAGGACACTTGTTCTATATTACAAACAGGCAGATGCACAAGCAATTTTGCTGCAACTTTTTGCTGTGTGTTGTCCTCACACAGATAATATTAATGATCCTGAACCCAAGAGTTCAATTTCTGGTTTTGGTTTTACTGCAGCATGACTTTGTTCAATCTCTCTGCAAAAGCTGGCAGTTGACAGATCTTTATGAAGGCTTTTCTTTCCCTAACAAGGTTAGCAAAACTGAGTTAGAATCTTTGTTAGTGTTAGATCATTTCCTGATGTATTGAATTATTTTTACTTGTTTTATTCAATTTTTTTTAATTGAACTAAGGAAATATGTCTTAATACAACTCTAAAGTGGTCTTTTGAGATACATTTTGTCTGCACAAAATACATATAATGGAACTTGGAAGAATCTCATGAATGTATTTTAAAAGAGTTTTTATAACAATTAATGATGTTACAATTTGAGAATTTTAAATCTGTGCAGAAAAGAAAAAGTATAACATAAAATAAGTTTAACTTAAAATATGTCACAGTGAGAAAAGCAGCACCATATCTGCAGAACAAATATTCTCTGATTTTTGTTTTCATTTTTCTTTTTTCAATAAAACAATGTGTGGAACCCCAAATTAGGGGGTAATATATAATGCATACACATAAACTTTTTATTTAAAAAGTTCAGTTTCTGAATAAATCATGACATCCCTCCAATTAATTTCACATGTTCTGCATCCATTTTCTTCTCTAAACAGCAAGTTTGTTTTGCAGGGGATTTAGACTAGAGTACATGCAGTAGGTGCAAGCTAAACCAGTTCTAAACATATTGGAAAAAAATAGGGGAAATAACAACTAAAAAAATTCAGTTTCTATGTGAAAAGGGGCTATTAGGATTATTGGAAAAAAACCGTAACAGACAGCATCTTCTGCAAGGTTTTGGGAACTGGTTATTAGATCTTAATCTGATTTAATAGTTTCTAAAATGCTGTTTAATCCAAACAGATGAATTTTTGGTCATACATCAGCCCACACAAAATTGACCTGAAATATACAGTGACATATGTGGCTATTGAGTGTGCTCTCACCTTTTCAGTGATGCTTTATGAAATAAAATTTAAGAAAAATACTCAGTTTTCATTTTTCTTTTCCAGAGAAGAAGAATTGTATTTTTTTTTATGAACCTAAGTATTTGCTTAGATTTTGCAAGAGTCAAAGCTGCAAAGGTAGAACAAGAACATAGCAAAACTGAAAGCAGCTTTTGCATACTTTTTTTCCTCTTCCTGTTCTGCCATTTTTGCTCATATTTTATTATTTTGTTTTTCATCTTGAAAAAAAAAGTGACAAAAATTATTCATAAATTTCCACTTTGACTTAGAATCTGGAGGTCATAGCGTGCTTAAATCAGAGGCTCAGTTGCACTGTATCCAAATTCAGGCTTCCATGCAGGTGTGTTTTTAGTCTACCATTCTGACTAGGACTTGAATAGTATCACCTGAACTGTGAGCATGTTAATGTAAGTTAAAAGCTGTCTATCTGACTGTGGATTTGATAAACTGATTACTCATTATCCCACCATTTCTAGCATTATTTTCTAATTAACATAATGAGAGCTAAAAGAAATTTTATTGTAGGTCAACAACACTGGGTAAAGCTGAGCTGCAATTATGTAATCCTCAAAGACATTCACTCAGAAGAACTGTCATGTAATGTATGTGTGTATTATTTCTACATTATTAGTTAAACTCCACTTGATGTGTGGGTCAGACATTCTCACCACTTTCACAGTTTCACCTGTCAGCCATGGGGATCCAGTTAAATTCTTCTTGTGATATGTAAATCCCCATTAGTTGTCTTTTATTTCCTGCTCCTAACATATATCCAAAAGGGCAAATGTCCCCAAAATACTTAGCTTTCTCCTGTAAACAAATATTGTACTGCCAAAGGCATGTGATGATGAGTTTTTGTGCAACAGCATGAAAGATTAGTTCATGACATTAAAGTGTTTGAAAATGTGTTTTATTCGAATTTATTATTGACTTAAATTTTAAGAACACAAAGAAAAAAAATAGTGATAAATGATTATGACCCTAGTGTTTAAAATAGAAAAAAGTTTCTGTCACAAATGCTTGCTTGTATTTCAAGGCTCATGGTGTATGAACCCCAGAGATAAACATCAATTTTGCTGTGCTAATGAAATGAATTTTAGAGCATCTAATTATAAAAAAAGCCACCAGAAGTTATAAATTCTTAGCAAAATGCAGCTGTCTATCAAAAATGTAGTTACTCATTCCATGCCTGAATGCAAACAGGCATGATCCCTTGCCTTCACTAAGATATTGATCAGACAAAATTTGTGTATGATACATGGGATTTGGGGATGCAAGCAGGGTTGGTTGAATAATTTTGCCCATTTATTTTCGCAACTGGATGAAACACTAAATTGTGAACAAAGCAGCTGCCTCAGGAACTACAATTTTAGCATTTTCTATTTGTAAGAATACCCTACACAGTAAACCACCCTGGGTCTCAAACAGTTTGCATCTGCCAGAATTGAAGTTTAGCAAGTTTGGCATTCCTTGTGCTTTGTAAGGTTTAGGATTTCTCTGGGATGTAATAGCATCCAGAATACTGAGCCTCAATAGCTGTCAGAGCCTCTGAAAATTGTCTCCTTACAGTTGTGTGTACAATGGACAGTGTATTCTCCTACAAATAACAGAAGGAATCTGAAAATTCAACAGCATTTCTTTAGTACTTTACTAAACATATAGGTTTAGTTAGGGTATCCTAGAGTTTCCTTTAAGTAGTAACCCACTGATCACAACATTACTAACAGTAATGCCTTGGTAGAGTCCTGGCTTTGTGCTGACCAGTACAGGAGAAATACAGCCAGTCACACAAAAGTTCATCCCAGATTCCCTGTAAAGATTACATTAGGCCAAAATATCAACACATATATTTCAGAGACATATATTTGGACTGTGCTGGGTAGGAGGTAATTTTGTTGTTCTACTGATATCTGAAATTACAAAGCTCTTGAAACCTTGGAAGCTTCCTTTTTCAGGAATTTGTGCTGAGGTTTTCCATCTTTAAATGCCTGGTTTTGCAACATTTAGCTTTGCTTTTTACTGTTAGATTTGAAATTGAACCCAGTTGAACCCAGAAAAAATCATAATTTTGTATAATTTCCAGGAAAAGTAAGTAAAAGTTCATGTGATACCTGCCTTAATTTTACTGGGACATAAATGAACCATAAGATTACTTGGAGGATATGTACAGTTTTATTTCCATAAAGACAGGTAAAACCAAGTATGACTGATTTTATTTGAAGTTTTATTTGAATATGTCTCACACAGGTTTTCAATAAATAGATACTTCTCCTCTGGCCTACCAATTGCTATCATTCTTATTCCTCTGAATTGCATAACTTACGATTGTGTATATCTCCTCTATAGTGATGGGATAAATATACCCAAAC